TAAATGATGTAACCTTGTGACTTTTCCCTTTAAAAACTGAGCTTGCAGACAGGTGGGCGCTTCCTCCAGCCTCCACTGCGTTGGATGTATTGGACGAAGTCCCTGCCTAAGCTTGTAATACTTTTGGATATCCAGAATTAAACCTTGCTTTTGCATTCCAGCATGCTCGTCTTTGGTGGTCTCTCTGGGGGGTCACAATCTGGGCACAACAGTCCATCCTAACACACACCTCAGCAAAGATAGCAATCATAAGCTCCGTGTTATGGACAAGAACTCATTTCAAGTTGCTCACTAGGGAAAATGATCAGCAATATATCAAGCAATGATCAAAATATATAAGCAACAGTTATACCAAGAAATTATACCAGAACTACTCCTTCTACTGAAAACCTCTCAATTTTGTCCATGGACCCATGGGGCTCCTTCCTTCCTCCCGCACCCAGCCTGGTCTGATTGGTGTTCAGCTGAAATCTCCAGCTCACCCCTGCTTGATCCCAGAAGCCCCTTTCCTCTCTCTCCAAACCCCACCCCCTCAGAGGGTCTCCAGCCAAGAAAGGCTGCCAAAAGCCCAGTTCAGCACTCTTGGTGGTGGCTCCTCCCCTGAAGCTGCCAGTGAGTGCCTCAGTCCCTGCCTGAAGAGTTGTAATTACTTCTGTATTTGTAATTATTTTGTATTTGTGGCTGGTATTACCAGAGGGGCTGGAGAAGATGAGGTTAGAAGGCAGGACACCTCCTGAAGACAACTACCAGCTTCACAAAGGTAGCATGGCATCGAGATGCTTTTCACAGTGTCTTCACCTCTCTGGTGTCTTCAGAAGTCAATAGGTTTTCTGTATCTCCACCAACACAATAAGCCAGATCAAGCCAAATTACAAAAGTAAAAGACCAGGTTTATTTTGGGTAAAGCAACTCCCAGGTGAGTCCTCTAGTCCCGAGAGAAGAGGAGGAGAAGAGGGAGGAGAAAAACCACATGGTCAAACTAGGAAAGAACTTAAATACCCTGTAGGTGAGGAGTGATGGAACGTCCTCCATAAATTGGATTTGTCCCTAATTACAACTCTTCAGGCAGGGATCAAGGCACTCAGGCAGCTTCAGAGGAGGAGCCGCCACCAAGAGTGCTGAACTGGGCTTTTGGCAGCCTTTCTTGGCTGGAGACCCTCTGAGAGGGTGGGGTTTGGAGAGAGAGGAAAGGGGCTTCCCGGATCAAGCAGGGGTGAGCTGGAGATTTCAGCTGAACACCAATCAGACCAGGCTGGGTGCAGGAGGAAGGAAGGAGCCCCACGGGTCCATGGACAAAATTAAGAGGTTTTCAGCAGGAGTGGTTCTGGTATAATTTCTTGGTATAACTGTTGCTTATATATTAATTTCTCTATCAAAAACATCACCACTGAGTCTTGGCCTCTTTTGTGTTCCTAAAAAAAAAATACAGGTAGAAGGTGAGAGAATGACTCCCTTGGTGGGCCAGTTCTCCTGCCCAAGAATGCCTCGTTATAACCTGTAATCAATCCATGCAGCTTCAACTGTGAGTATCAGTGAGGCAGATCTACTCAACTTCCCCATCACCTCAACCTACAATGCTAACCTGCAGGTGAGTTTTCTCCACCTCCAACCCCACCTCAGGATCTAGGAATGTGGCAAAGTCCACAGGAAGTCTAGGAGAACCTGGAAGCACAAAGCCAAGGATATGGTGCAGGGAGGATATTCTGGTTATCTCCTGCTACGTCACCATAATCCACACTGAATCCTACTGTTTGGAGAGACTACTGCCTTTCTAATGTTGTGTGGGTCAGGGATTTGGTGAGGGGTTGGTGGAGTGGCTGTAATCTTGGTTTTTCATGCAGCTGATGAGCAACCGGAATGCAAAAACAAGAATGACACCTTGGGAACTGGTTCAATCTCTTTAAATAATATTCTTTTTAATTTTTTGAAATTAAATTTTAATTACAACATTCTCCCCCTTCCTTCTCCTCCCTCCAATCACCCTTGCACTCTCTCTAATTAATGGCCTCTATTTCCTAATTGTGTGTGTGTGTGTGTGTGTGTGTGTGTGTGTGTGTGTGTGTGTGTGTTCCTAGATACATAAATACAACCTGCTTATTCCATATAATGTTACTTGTTTGAATATGATTTCAGGTCTGACCATTTTGTAGCAATAATGCCCACGCTACCACCACCCATTTACCATGTCCGAACAAGGGGCTGTGGATCGAAACACAGAGACAAAAGACAGTGAGTCATTTGCCACAGCAGAATGCCGAATGCCGTTTATTGAAAGAGGGAGGAAACCTTAAATACAGGCTTACAGCACAATGGGGGGGACCTCAGAGGGCAGTAGTTCGCTACCGAATGTTCTACATTCTTGCATTTAAGCTGTTAACGCTCAATATGCAGGATACACAAACAAGGAATTTCCCTTAAGCATTCAGTTAAGCATTTATATTGGTATCCAGTCTTGGAAGCGTTTTTTTTTTTTTTTTTTTATCTCGTTTTTCATTTAAGATAAGGTCTCTCTATGTAGCTCTGGCTGTCTTGGAACTCACTATGTAGACCAGGCTGTTTTCTGACTCCCAAGTGCTG